CTTCCTTCCTTCCTTCCTTCCTTCCTTCCTTCCTTCCTTCCTTCCTTTCCCCTCTCTCCCTTCCCCCTTCTTTCCTTTGTTCCTCTTTCTTTTTTTGTTTTCTTTTCTTTTCTTTTGGTTTTTCGAGACAGGGTGTCTCTCTGGCTTTGGAACCTGTCCTAGAACTAGCTCTTGTAGACCAGGCTAGCCTCATACTCACAGAGAATCTCCTGCTCTGCCTTCCAAGTGCTGGGATTAAAAGCATGCATCACCACTGTCCAGCTTCTTGTTTGTTCTATTGATATAAGGTTTCTCTGTGTAGCCTGGCAGTCCTGGAACTCACTCTGTAGATCAGGCTGGCCTTAAACTCAGAGATCTACCTGCCTCTGCTTCCTGAGTGTTGGCACTAAAAGGGTGTGCCATCACCACCTGGCCCATCATAGCATATTTCAAGTAAAATTTGTTTTTGCTGTTTTTTCCTCCTTTCTCTCATTGATTATTTGCAATGTTTTAAATGGGTGCAGCATCATTATAACTCTCTAAACAATTCTGACATTTGGGATTGGTTTTACTTTTTGACCATGAACAATCTAAATTAACCATTACAAAAAAAGATGTACTGGTGTGGAAGAATTGTCTGTATTCTGTCAATCATATTTTAATAAAACGCTGATTGGCCAGGCAGGCAGTATAGGCAGGAAAGCCAGACAGGAAGTAGAGGTGGAGCAAAGAGACTGGGAGTATTCTGGCAAGCAGGAAGCTCCCTCCGCAGTTCTGCCCAGACCACCGGAGAGGAAACATGTAAGCTGCCCAGCTGGAAAAGGTACTGAGCCATTATGGCTAACATAGATAATGATAATGGATTAATATAAATTACAAGGACTAATAAGAAGCCTGACCTAATGGGCCAATCAGTTTATAATCTTATGGAGGCTTGTGTGTGATTTTCCTTGGAAGTTGCCAGCTGTGGGGTATTGGGCAGGACAGAAACCCCAACCAGCAGGCCCTCTCATGCTACAATGTACTATGTTCTATTATTCTATGTATGAATGTTTTGCTTGTATGTATGATTGTGTACCATTTTTTATGTCTGGTGCTCTCAGAGGCCAGAAGAGGGTGTTAGAGCCCCGGAACTAGAGTTACAGATGGTTGCAAGCCACCATGTGGGTGCTGAGAATCAAACCCAAGTCCTCTGAAAGAACAGCCTCTTAACTGTTGAGCCATCTCTCCAGACCTTGAAAATTAACTTTTAAACCCAAGTTTCTATTTCTGCTTAAAATCAAAACATGACTGTTAAAAATACGGTATTTTCCTAAGTTTAGTTATTAATACATTCTGACTTCATGTTCTCTTCTAACGTTGTGGTGAGACTGCTCATCCCAAGCAGTGTTGGTGACTGACACTTTTCATGAACAGTCTACCACCATTTCTCAACTATATGTGAGTGGCCTGGTTTTTTGAACTTTGAAATTTGCAGGGATAACAGCTCAAGGGGTGCAGAGAGGTTTTTGTTTTTTTCTCACCCCTCAGTAAGGCGGGCCCTGCAATGACTTTCCTGAAGCTCTCAGATGAAGAAGGAAGTACCAAGGAATTTAGAGACTGGGAAGACATGGGAACTACCTCTGCATCTGACTGGGAAGATCTAGGACAGGATTCCTGTGTATTCTTCGTAGCCTCTACTCATTTGATTGACAAATATCTACTGGGCACCTACAGGGACGATTCTGTTGTGTGGGCACTCTGGCTGTGCTCTTCAGACACACAGAAGTAGACAAACAATAAGTCATTCTGACTTCATCTTTCCACACACAATGCCTGCAAGGTGTGACAGTCAGTACTCTTGCTCTGCAAACAGGGGGCTACTAATTTCTTTAAGCTCAGTATTTTCATCTTTTAATATGTGCCTGGCAATGTGTTAAATAGTCTTACCTTTGTCATGTATGACTTCTTCCCTTGTCTGTGAAATGATAGCAATAATAGCAGCCTCATGAGATTATAAAATGTGATACGGATGAGTACGCTACAGCTTAGACTGATTAGCAAATTGCCCATGCCCACAGGGAAAAGAAGTGACAGTTTGGACTTTAACCTTAGTTGGTCTGGGTTATATCTGTGTGCTCAACTATTGATCTGTAGTGTCTTCATAAAGAATATATATAAAATATTTAGAGAAGCAGTTTGATAATAGTTGCTTTTTTTTTAAATTTTAAAAACATTTATGTAGCCAGGCTTGGTGGAGCAAGCCTTTAATCCCAGCACTTGAGAGGATGAGGCAGAAGGATTTCTGAATCTGATGCCAGCCTGTTCTATAGAGTGAGTTCCAGGACAGCCAGGACTACATTGAACCAAAAAAAAAAAAAAAAAAAAAAGAAAGAAAGAAAGAAAGAAAGAAACAAAACCCAGCAACAACAACAACAAAAAAAACCAAAAGAAGGAAATTTGTATGTATTCATTCTCCACACACACATGAAGATAAAAAGATAACCTGTAGAAATTGATTCTCTTCCACCATATGAATTCACAGGATCAAACTCAGGCTGTCAGGGTTGGTGAAAAGCAACCTTACCCACTGCACCATTTCTCTGGGCCTTTACTATTTTGTCTTAAAAACCATTTCACAATACTCTTAAGTAAACCCTTTCCAACGTTAAAGCGTGAAATTTTGTTCACTGAGCAACATGGGACATTTGATCTAACAGAACAATTAAACTTGCCCTTGAAGGAAATTGAAATTTCAATCCATTTTCACTGCATATTCCCTCTTGGCTTTTCACTCGTTTTTGTTTTTATTTTTATGGCTAAAAATAGACCTTGGTCACCTTTGGGAACAACACTGAGGGAGAGAAAGGGAGGCAACCTTTGGCTAGATCTGAAAGTGAGGAGGGTGGGGGGAAGTAAGGAGTGAATATCCGTTAACTCCCTCTGTGGAACAGTCAGCGTGGACAGCATTCGTTTGCGCCTGCTGGCTTCCCAGAGCAGCTGCCACAGTTGCTGCTTATCAGATTTTCACCACAGCGTTGCAAAATGAGGACACAGAGCCTTAAAGAAGTTGAGTAATTTCCTCCAGGTCATGTGACCAGTATTGTTGGCACAGCCTGGTTTCAAGCTCCAGTTTGTCTGCTTTCCCATCTGTGGCTTCCAGGTAGCATCTTTCTACTCTGCTCAGTGGTGCTGAGGAAGGGATGATGCTAAGTTAGCAGCTGAGTCCAGGGTTTACATTCTAGTTGTCAGACGTCACATTCCCCTTGTTCTTGTGTTTGGAGAAATTATGGAAACTCTCATAGATTCCTCTCTCCCTTCTTCCTTCCCTCCTTCCCTTTCTCCCACTTTTCTTTTAGAGACACTGTTTCTTGTATAATAGGCTATCAGCACACCCACTATGAACTGAGAATGACCTTGAACTTCTGATCCTCTTGCCTCCACCTCCAGAATTCTGTGACGATCACAGCTTGTCCCGCTGTGCCTGATTTGTAATGCCACGCCAGGCAGGTTAGGCAAGAACTTTACCAAGTGAGCTGTTTCAACCCTTGGGTATCTTTCCTTTTCTTCTGGAGATGAGGTCTCCTTGAGTAACCCTAGCTTCCTGGAACTTGCTATGTAGTCCAGGCTAGCCTCAAAGGGATCTACTTGTGGCTGCCTCCCAAATGCTAGAATTGAAGGTGTGCCTAGCAGTGGATATTTTCTTTTTTATAGATTCAAGAACATAGGCACCTGTCATGGTGCACAGTTCTAATCCTAACACTTAGAGGCAGAAGCAGGAGAATCCTGAGTTTGAGACTAGC